GAAGCCTACTAAAAAGATGAATCAAAATAAAATAAAATGAAATACTAGAAATAGTAAATATTAGAACTAAAGCAAAACAGTGGTTCTAGGCTAGTTCTGTCAAATATAACATTCTGTGATAATGGAAAAATTCTATATTTGCATTGTTCAACAGAGTAGCCACTGCAGCTGTTGAGAACTTACATGTGGCTAGTGTGACCAAGGAATTAAATTTCTTTTTTTTTTAATTTTTTCCCCAAATTTTTATTTAAATTCCAGTTAGTTAACACAGAGTGAAGTATTGGCTTCAGGAGTAAAATTCAGTGATTTCTCACATACAACACCCAGTGTTCATCACAACAAGAGCTCTCCTAATACCCACCATCCATCTAGTCCACCCCCACCCACCTCCCTCCAGCAACCTTCAGTTTGTTTTCTATTGTTAAGAGTCTCTTGTGATTTGTTTCCCTCTCTTCTCCCTGCCTCCTGTATGTTCATCTGTTTTGTTTCTTAAATTCTACATATGAGTGAAATTATATGTGGTATTTGTCTTTCTCTTATTTCATTTAGCATAATACACTCTAGCTCCATCCACATCACTGCAAATGGCAAGATTTCATTCTTTCTGATAGCTAAGTAGTATTCCATCATGTATATATATATACCACATCTTCTTTATCCATTCATCAGTTGATGGACATTTGGGCTCTTTCCATAGTTTGGCTATTGTTGATAATGTTGCTATAAACATTGGGGTGCATGTATTTTTGAACCTTTATTTTTGTATCCTTCAAGTAAATACCTAAGTAAATACCTATCTGAGTTAAATACTCAAAAGTTCTCCATAGTGGGGCATCTGGGTGGCTCAGTCGCTTAAGCACTCAACTTCAGCTCAGGTCAAGATCTCATGGTTCAGGAGTTTGAGCCCCACACTGTCAGATTCTCTCTTTCCCTCTCTCTCTGCCCCTCCCAGACTCAAGCTTTGTCTCTAAAAAATAAATATATGAACTTAAAAAAAAAAGTTCACCATACCGTTCTCCAGAGTGGCTGCACCAGTCTGTATTCCCACCAACAGTGCAAGAGGGTTCCCCTTTCTCTGCATCCTCCACAACACCTGCTGTTTCTTGTGTTGTTAGTTTTAGCCATTCTGACAGGTGTGAGGTGGTATCTCATTGTGGTTTTTATTTGTATTTCCCTAATAATGAATGATGCCGAGCATTTTTTCATGTGTCTGTCAGCCATCTGGATGTCTTCTTCTTTGGACAAGTGTCTATTCATGTCTTCTCCCCATTTCCTCACTGGATTATTTGTTTTTTGGGGGTTGAGTTTGACAAGTTCTTTAGAAATTTTGGATACCAACCCTTTTCCAGATATGCCATTGGCAAATATCTCCTCCCATTCCATAGCCTGCCCTTTAGTTTTGTTGATTGTTTCCTTAGCTGTGCAGAAGATTTTATCTTGAGGAGGTCCCAATAGTTCATTTTTGCTTTTGTTTTCCTTGCCTCCAGAGAATTGTCAAGTAAGAAGTTGCTGCGGCTCAGGTCAAAGAGGTTGTTGCCTGTGTTCTCCTCTAGGATTTTGACGGTTTCCTGTCTCACATTTAGGTCTTTCATCTACTTTGAATTTATTTTTGTGTATGGTGCAAGAAAGTGGTCCAGATTCATTCTTCTGCATGTTGCTGTCCAGTTTTCCCCACACCATTTGTTAAAGATAATTTTTTCCATTGGATAGTCTTTTCTGTTTTGTTGAAGATTAGTTGGTCATACATCTGTGGGCCCATTTCTGGGTTCTCTATTCTGTTCCATTGATCATGGTACTGTGCCAGTACCATACTGTCTTGATGATTACAGCTTTGTAATAAGACTTGAAGTCCAGAATCGTGATGCCTCCTGCTTTGCTTTGCTTTTTCAGGATTTCTTTGGCTATTCGGGGGAAGGGAGGATTAAATTTCTAATTTTGTTCCATTTTCATTACATTTAAATAGCTACATGTAGCTAGCTGCTGTTGTATTGAACAGTACAGTTCTAGGGCATGATTATCTTGGGCTGCTAAAATTCTTAGGTGAAAGACTAGTGGGGAATTTATAATGGGGAGATTAGAATTACTACCCCTAAATTTACTGATCAATTTTAAAATCACAAAAAGAGACAGACGTTATGTATTCTAATTAGATGCAATGGGGAGTATGTAACACCACCCATGAAACATTCTTGCCAAAAATATCAAACCTAAATCTGATCCAGCTTCTAGATCTAACTACCAGTTTTGGAAATACAGAGAACGGGAGAATATGATACACACCATAGCAAGAGAGGTCAGCAAAATCTAAAATGTGGTAAACTCCTCAGAACAAACAATATGATTTATTATGATAATAAAATAATTGCAAGGGAGGGGCACCTAGGTGGCTCAGTCTGTTAAGCATCCGATTCCATTTGAGCTCAGGTCATGATCTCATGGTTTGAGCCCTGAATTGGGCTATGAGTTGACAGTGAAAAGCCTGCTTGGGATTCTCTGTCCCCCTCTCTCTCTGCCCCTCCCCTGCTCATGCTTTTTTTTCTCTCTCTCAAAATAAATAAATAAACTTAAAAAAATAGTAATTGCAAGGGAGAAGTGGGAGAGGATGAAAGCTATAGAGCAGAGAGACCCTATTTGGGACCAACTGTGTCTTGGTCTGGTGCCCCCAAAGCAGAACCTGATTAAAAAAAACAAAAACAAAAGCAAAAACCAAAACTATGTGTAATGCTTTATTCAATACTTTATTGAAGAGTGTGATCTCAGAGGGCAGGAATGAGGGACAATAAATGAAAAAGGGAAGCACAAGAAGGCATGATCAAGTTGGCTACCATGAAGAGTGATTTCTTAATCCCACAGACCTTGTGAGAAGTTACATATACTGGGTCTTCAGACTGTCGATCTCGGGATGAAAAGGAAAGCAGTTGTCCATTGGTCAACGTTTGCCTCAAAGAGTTTTAAGTGCCTGGCACTTTTGGGTTGTGCATGCCAGGCAGGTTTCTACAGTATTCCACACTGCAGCATTAAAGAGAAGCCCTGAAGCTGTGCCAGGCCACACCTGTGTGCAGCTGGTTGGAGCCTGTGCAGAACTGATATGGGCAGCAAAGTCTGGATTAAATGACAGGTGAGCCTGAGGGTATCTGGAGTTATGCACAGAGATGTCTGATATAAACTATTTAAAAAAATGGGGGGGGGGGAGTGGGACAGGGAGAGAGAGGGAGAGAAGGAGAGGGAATGAATCAGGGGAACTTGAATGCTATTGAATTTTGACTGAACGTCTTTGGTGACCTTAAGGAATTATTGTTAAGTTAACTTTTTGTGTGATTATGGTATGGTGTTTATGACATTTTTTTCAAGACTTATCTTTTAGAAATCCATACTAAAGGATTTGTACATGAAACAATATGATGTCTGGAATTTTCTTCAAAAGAATCCAGTTTTTAAGGGAGAGTAGATGGAGGCATAGCTGAAACAAGATTGGCCATGAGTTATATGCTGATTTTGAAAACATCCACTAACTTTGAACTTAATTTCTCTCCTCTTGAATGTGGATGGGACTTAGTGACTTGTTTCTAATGAACACAATGTGGTAGAAGTGATCTTGTGTGTCTTCCAAGACTGTGTAATAAAAGTCATTGCAACTTCCACCTTGCGCTCTTTTGGATCATTTGTTCTGGGGGAAGCCAGCTGCCCTGCTGTGAAGACACTTCAGCTGCTCTGCGGAGAGGGCCACGTGGCAAGAAACAGATGCTTCCTGGCAACACTTTACCAGCCAGAGGTGAGGGTCACCTTGGAACAGATCCTTTAGCCCCAGCTAAGGCTTCAGATATCTGCAGGCCAGGCAGACAACATGACCACAGGCTCATGACAAATCCTAAGACAGAACCGCCCAGTTAAGCCACTCCTAAAATCCTGACTCTCGGAAACTGTGCAAGATAATGTTTATTACTGTTTAAATATGCTAAGTGTTGGGTAATTTGTTACACAGCAGTGGTCAACTGAAATAAATTAATAATTGTTGAAGCTGAGTGTTGAGTTCATTGTAGGATTCTGTTTTTGTATATGTCAAACTACATTTTCTTTTTTATTATTTTTAGAGAGAGAGAGTGTGTGAGCAGGGGAGATGGGCGGAGGGGGAGAGAGAAAGAATCTTAAGCAGGCTCCACACTCAGCACTAAGCCTGATGCAGGGCTCGATCCCATGATCCTGGGAACATGACCTGAGTCGAAATCAAGAGTCGGATGCGCAACCAACTGAGCCCCCCGGGTGGCCCTGTTTGGCATTTTCCATGATAAAAATTAAATACTGAATTCCTATATTGCATCTTCATGTTAAGTCATTTCCAAGTGGATTAAAGACTATCTGTCAGGGGCGCCTAGGTGGCTCAGTCGGCTGGGCATCCGACTTCAACTCAGGTCATGATTTCGCCATTTCCAAGTTCGAGCCCTGCATCCGGCTCTGTGCTGACAGCTTGGAGCCTGGAGCCTGTTTCAGATTCTGTTTCCGTCTCTCTCTGCCTCTCCCCGACTCATGCTATGTCTCTCTCTGTCTCTCTCTGTCTCTCTCTCTCTCTCTCTCTCAAACATTAAAAAAAAACAAAAAACAACTATCTGTAAAAAGCAAAAATTCCTGGTAAATTATCATCTCTTTAACCTCAACGTAGGAAAGGATTTCTTAAACAAGACATGAAAAGCACAGACTACCACGGCTCCTGGGAAGCTCAGTCAGTTAAGAGTCTGACTCTTGATTTTGGCTCAGGTCATGATCTTGCTGTCATGAGATTGAGTCCCTTCAGGGCCTCAATGGCCCTGGCCGTGGAGCTTGCTTAAGATTCTCTCTCTCCCTCTGCCCCTCCCCTGCTCATAGGCGTGCTCCCTCTCTCTCTCTCAAGAAAAAAAAAAAAAAAAAGAAAATCACAGACTATTGAGAAAAGATTGATAAATTTATATACATTAAAGATAATTTATTAGATGATACTATAAAGAAAGTGGTATTTGTTACACATATAATGAAGAAAAGACTAGTAACTGAATATAGAAGTGACACAAATCCGTAAGAAAAAGAAGCAATTCAATAGAAAAGTGGGCAAAGGATATGAATGCTCACTTCACAGAAGGGGAGACCTAAATGGTCAATAAACAAATAAAAAACTGATCAACCAGTGTCTCTATCTCTGTGTTGGTCCCCTCAGTAATTAACACTCTCTCCCCTAGCAGATATTAACAATGGCTGACTGGAGTTGGTATATAAATACCTGTAAACACCCTTGCCCCCTTGCCTCTCTGAGACATGTGTCCTGTACCACTTCCCAGAGTTCCCTCTGTGGAATTTCCCTGTGGAATGGCTCACACTAGTCACTGACTAATAACACATTCTTTATTGATTTTCTTCCCTTCCCTGTTTCACTTCCCTACTCTCCTGTTTCCTGGGATTACATCCCACATTAACCTTGAATTCTTGCCTCAGGGCTTTCTTTCGGGGGAACCTAAGCTAATAGAAGAGTGATCAAGCTTCCTTGCCAGTATCAGACACAGTCTTGAGCCCTGGCAATTCTGTGAGAATTTCATGCACAAAAAGAAGCTATAGCCTTGAAATGCGTATGGGAGAAAGGGGTCTGGTGGCTCCAAACAAACCCTAAGGGTGGGAGGCTCAGACCAGTGGCCATAGGAATACACTTCAAAGCTACCCCAAGCCCAGGACTCTTGCAGGTCTGCTTTCTTTCTGTCCTCTTTCAACTCTGTACGTAATCAATGCCCTTGGCCCTGACTCACTGAGTTCATAGCTAAACTCTCCCTGTTGCTTGAGTCATTTTTGATATGCTGATCTGGCTTTAGCCTGTTTAACTTGGTAAATAAACACTGCAATCTGGGCCATATCTCTAGCCACAGACCATGCTTTTGGTGAGCTGGTTCTGTACACAGGGTTATCTGCTACCCCTCCTCCATACTGGGGTTCTGGCCGCGGTCATAGTACAAGTGAACACAAGAACCACCTCCCTGTAATGAAGGCTGCTTTGCTGCCAGTGGCTTCTCAGATGATGGGAGTTTATGCCAATGGCTTGGCAGCAACATGAGATGGGGACCTCTGTGTGGGCATCAGAAGCCTTGATCACAACACTGGCAGCAGTTTATATCAGTGCCTTGGGCAAGCACTAGCAATAGAGACAGTGTTTCTGGCTGCACCAGCACAGTGGGCTTTCATGGGAGCCAGCTTAGAGAGTTGGTTTCTCTATGAGCCAAAGCAGGAAACAAGGAAATGGACATCTTCCACGGGTTTGCCATACTGTCTCAGTGGTAGTATCTTCTGTTATGGTGTTGGGTATATTTAGGGGGACTTCCAAATTCTTGTGGCCTGTGTTAATTACCTACTGCTGTAAGACAAACTGCCCCCAAATTTAGTGGCCTACAACAATTTATTATCTTCACAGTTTTTATGGGTCAGAAATTCAGGAACAGCTTGACTAGGCAATTCTGGCTCAGGGTCTTTTGTGAGGTCTCAGTCAAGATGTTGGCCAGGACTGGCATCATCTGAAGCCCTGACAGGGGCCAAAGGATCCATTTCCAAATTGTCTTACACACGTCTGGTAAGTACATACTGGTTCTTGGTGGCAGGTTCCCGTTCCTCCCCACCTGTGCCTCTCCACAGGCTGCTCGTGTCCTCATGACATCATGGCTGGCTTCCTCCAAAGCAAATGAAGAGAGAAGGACAGGGAGGAGAGGGAGAGGGAGAATGTGAAGGAGAGGAAGAGGGGAAGGAGAAACTATCCTTTGTATGACCTAGCCTCAGAATATATATAGTATAATTCTACCACATTCAAGTTGTTAGAAGAGAGTCACTAAGTCTGGCCTTTATTCTACAGAGAGGAATTAAACTCCAACTTTTAATGAGAATATCAAAGAATTTGTGGAAATTTCTTTTATTTAAAAAAATTTTTTTTGAATGTTTATTTTTGAGAGAGAGAGAGAGAGAGAAAGAGAGAGCGAGCATGAGCTGGGGAGGGGCAGAGAGAGAGAGGGAGACAGAGAATCCAAAGCAGGCTCCAGGCTCCGAGCCCGATGCAGGGCTCAAACTCACAAGCCATGAGATCATGACCTGAGCCAAAGTCAGACGCTCAACCGACTGAGCCACCCAGGCACCCCTGTGGACATTTCTTTTAAAGCACCATCTTGTTTTTAAGTTTAATAACTAATTGTAACTTGGATTATAAGGTTTTTTTCAAGTCCTCTGTCCTTTGAGTTGATATAAAGGCCACTTCCTGTATTCGTGGGCTTACCTATGGCAGCCACCAGGAGCTCTGACAACAGCTAAGGGGGCTAATCCTATGCTCCTAGATCAAGGATCCCTGAACATTTACTTGTAGAGCCTCCCAAGTACTATAGGGATCTTATGTTTGTAAGTTGACCTATCCTTCGCACGGGAGCTACCATTGTGTTTCTTCCAAACCCTCAGGATCAACCTTTTTCACAGGCAATATAGTACCTTACATGTTAGGTAAGATTCTGATATCTATAATTAGGGAATTGCTTTGTTCCAAATAGATGAAGAGTATAAGAAGATCCTTGACATAAAAAAGGTTGATTTTTCCAATAATACAGAGTGAAGTCTCTTGATACTTAGGGAAGGTCAGACAGCTTGATCAGATAGATCTTACCAGGGCGGCATTCATCCTTACAATCCAGTGCTCCATAAATATTTGTTGTATACAGTAGACTGATACCCCTCCCAATTTTTTTTTTTTTGGATCTTTCTTATGGCTGTGAGTGTTGGCTGGCTGCCAAATGAGATTTGTATGCAAAACAATGCCTTCTTGTCTCAAGGTGGAATCAACTCTTAGATACAATCTATGTCTCAAGGCTCTCCATAGGTTTAGGCTGCCGCTTGACTCCAGATAAGACCACATCTTTGCTTAGCTCCCTTCCCTATCTGTCCGGCTTCCTTCATTGCCTTTCTCCAGGGAGCACTCTCATAATAAATCCTGTTTCGGGCTCTGCTTCTAAGGAAACTGACCTAAGACAATGCATGAGTAAAAGCCAAACAATTGTTTTGTTAAAAACATCCATGTCCATGACCTGGAGACAATGCAAAGATATAGAAAATGATGGCATGAAATTAGAGAGAGCAAAGGGCATACAAACAGAGAGACTGCCTTTCCTGAGTTTAAAAAAAAAAAAAAAGAAGAAGGAAAAAATGGGCAGAGGTAACTTCAAACCATCTTAGTGGATACAAACCTCCTTGGCCACGCAGTTGGTGAGGACTCTGTCATGTGGAGTCTGGACTTAAAGCAGTTCCAGGAATTTTTTGCCATTGGAATTCCTTGCCATTAACATTAAAATTTCTAGGTCCTGGAAGTGGCCACCTTGAAAGGACTAGTGGAGAAAAAGATGGTGTGGGATTTCAGATAGAACAGTAATAGAGTGCTGGTGGTAAGGTGTAAGGAGTCCAGCAGACAAGCTTCTGGAGCTGCAATGACCCTTTTCAGGAAGAATGACCCAACGATCAGAACCCTCTGTGTATTATATATAAATGACTCATTGTACATCCTATATGTATATACAATTATACAGCCATTGTTAATCAAGTTTACCTTAAAGACTTATTCTTATCTTTGGAGGCAGGAAGTTACAGAGTATTTTGGGAATTTATTGCAGTCCTAAAACAAACCATCCCCAAACTTAGTGGCTTAGAGAAGTACATTTATTTATTTTGCTCATGTATCCGCAGTTTGGGTGGGTTAGCAGAGGTGGCACCCTCTCTGCTTCATTAGTGTCTGGGGCCTTAACTGGGAAGAACCGAACGGCTAGGGTCCGGAATGGCTGCGGCTGCTTCCTTGCAATATGGCAGTATCAGATTAGCTGGGCTTCTTTTATGGCAGCTGGATTTCCTCAGAGCAAGTGTTCGAAGGCACTCAGAAAGAAGCAGCAAAACTTCTTGGACCTTGACTCAGAAGTTTCAGTATTTCACTTCCACCACAGTCTATTGGTGCAACAAACACTAAGACCAGCCCAGATTCAAGGAGTTGGGGGAATTAGTCCCCATCTTTCCATGGAAGGAGTGCAAAACAATTTGTAGACATCTTTAATTCCACCATGCAAAAGTATAAAGTGCAGGAGACTGACAACATTAAAGGAGAAAGAAGATTGCAGTATTTCCCTGCATAGTCAAGGTAAGATTTTGTTTGTTTGTTTGTTTTAATTTTTTTTTCAACGTTTTATTTATTTTTGGGGCAGAGAGAGACAGGGCATGAACGGGGGAGGGGCAGAGAGAGAGGGAGACACAGAATCGGAAACAGGCTCCAGGCTCCGAGCCATCAGCCCAGAGCCTGACGCGGGGCTCGAACTCACGGACCGCGAGATCGTGACCTGGCTGAAGTCGGACGCTTAACCGACTGCGCCACCCAGACGCCCCAGATTTTGTTTGTTTCTTATTAAAAAAATTTTTTTAGCGTTTATTCATTTTTGAGATACAGAGGAACAGAGTGTGAGCGGGCAGGGGCAGAGAGAGGGAGATTCTGTAATCTGAAGCAGGCTCCAGGCTCTGAGCTGTCAGCACAGAGCCCGACATGGGGCTGGAACTCACGAACTGCTAGATCACGACCTGAGTGGAAGTCGGACGCTTAACCGACTGAGCCACTCAGGCGTCCCAGATTTTGTTTTTTTTAAGGCAAGATCATTTGAGCAAAACATGGCTAAGGAAAGAGAACCAGAGAAGGGAGTAGATTAAAGAGGAAAACATTTGCTGTAGCAAGGTTCTAGGGCAGCCATATTGCTGCCCTGTGGACGCAAACCATTTTCTCTTATCTCTGAGTATTCGTAAAATTATGTGAAACTTCACAGCCTGGCTTCAGTTTTGCTGTGAAGAAAGAAGGGAAAGTCTGGTTCCATTTCTGGCCTGGGGGAGTAGGGAGAGCAGTGCTTCCTGAAGCCAGGCCATAGCTTCATGTAAGCCACCTCCATCTGACTGGGTTCTTGCCAGAGGGTAGGGCCATGTCTTCCATCCCCACCTCATTCTACACAGCCCCTGTAGGACACTGCAGCAAAAACCACCCGCAAACCAGAATGCCTGTGGTAGGGCCTAAGCTGAACAATGTGTTTTGTGTAACAATAGGAGGGATGTGTGGGTGGAGAGCTGAGGGCGGAGACTGGTGGGCTGTTAGGCTTCACCTGCCATGAAGTGGATACACAGGAAGGTAGGTCAGGACCTAGGTATGAGTACAGGGGTATACGCTAGAATTCTGAGCTCTAAGGTAAAGCAAAAGGGGATTTCTTTGTTTCCCAGGGACTGCAGGGTGCTCAAACTCTGAGCTGACCCAGGAATATTCCTCACAACACAAGGCTTATGTCAGACAATGTCTGGTTATCTATTGCTGAGTAATAAACCTCTCCAAAACTTAGAGGCTTCAACTGACAGCCAGTTTCTCAGGATTTTGGAAAAGGCACAGGAGGAAAGACTTACCTCTGTTCCAGGTAATGAGGAACAGCTCAGATGGCTGGGACAACCTAGGTGGCTTCTTCCCTCAATGACTGGTCCCTCAGCTGGGATGGGTTCACCAGGTACATGTGTCTGGGACTTCACTTCTTGGTGGTAACTGGGTCTCGACTTCTCCATGTCTCAGGGCCTTTCCCTCTCTATGTCTCTGTGTCATCTTTCTACAGCAAGGTGGAAGAGGGGGAGCAGCTCAGGATTATCAAAATCAAAATCAAGGTTACCAGGTATTCTCAAAGCTCGTATCTGTAATTGGCACAGTCACTTCTGCCACGTTCTGCCTTTGGTTAAATCTTATCACAGGTCCAGTCCAGATTCCAGGGTTGACGACCACACAAGGTTACACTGTCAGGAGGCTTGTTTCACTGGGGCCACCAAAGTAACAAACTACCTGACAAGAAGGGCTCTAGGTGCAGATGTGTGCGGTGGGCTGAGGGTGCTGGATTCTCTTAAGAGGTATTTGAGAACATATAGTGCAAAGTAAGATAACCCCAAATTTCCTCCCCAGAATGAAGGGTGGGGGCTCTGGTCGGCCACTGGATCGGCCTGAATCAAGGAAGCTGAACTCTTCACTCAAGAGTACTGGGCATTTATTGCGCATAGCCTATGCGCTGGGGTTAATACACGTGTTACTTCGTTGTCCCTACTTTACAGAGGGGAAAGCAGAGGCTGGTGCGCAGCACTCTTTCTACAGTACCGCACACCACGACGAAGCCTTCTAGGCCCCTTCTGCCCCGCAGGTAGTCCCCCGCAGGCAGAGCGATGACACACGCCGGGGTCTCCGGAAGGGCAGTCCTCAACACAGCCGGCTTTGCTAGCAGAGCGGACGGCTCCCAGGCAGCCAACGGTAAGAGGCTGCCTCAGGGATGCTAACCTGTCGCCGGGGCACCGAGAGAAGGCTAAGAACCGGAGCGCAAAGGCGCCTCTGACCCGAGGGGGAAGGGGTCTCAGCAAGCGGTAGACCAAGAGTCAGACACCCGCCTCCAAAGCCGCGTGTGCGAGAGGACGGCCCGCGCGTCGCGCGCCGCCCACGCACGCACGCACCGCTCCGCCTACCGCGCAGCTCTGGCCCCACCCCCAGGATTGACCGCCCGAGCCACCGTCCTCACAGCCCCGCCCCGCACGGCCAGGCAAAGCGGAGCCGGCCGTGCGGTGTGTGTATGTGTTCGCGGGGCGCCGTCTCAGCCCCGGGAAGATGGTGGCGGCGGCGGCGGCGACTAAGGCGAGGCTGAGGAGCAGGACGGCGGCGACAGCGCTTGCGGGCAGGAACAGCGGGCAGCGCTGGGACTGGGACGCGACCGGGGCTGGGAGGCCGGGGCTGGGGGCCGGGCTGCGCCTCCCGCGGCGGCTGCTGCTGCTGCTGCTGCTGCTCCCGCCGCCGCTGCTGCTGCTGCCCTGGGCGGCCGAGGCCGCGGCAGCGGCGTCGGCGGTGTCGGGCTCAGCCGCAGCCGAGGCCAAGGAATGTGACCGACCCTGTGTCAACGGCGGCCGCTGCAACCCTGGCACCGGCCAGTGCGTCTGTCCCACCGGCTGGGTGGGCGAGCAATGCCAGCACTGCGGGGGCCGCTTCAGGTGAGTGGGGGGTGGTGTTGGAGGGTCAGGCCCAGAGGGGGACTGAGGCTAAGGGGCGCCGAGATGGCTCCAGGCCGGAGGCAGATGCCGGACAGTAAGAGGGGAGGGTACGGCCGCCCCTCGGTGTTTGAGGACCATTTGCTTCCGAGGAGATCATCGTCTCTGGCCTAGGGTTGTCTTGTACTGGAAGATGAAAAGGTTCGAGGCACGGGTGGAGGCACTACAGAGGGATTTGGGTGCGGCGGGTACATGAGAAGAAAGCTTAGGGTCCCAAAGAGTATCAAAGCCAGTCCTTGAAACTGGGCCGCTTTCGGATAAACGGGGTATAAAAGAAAAGAGAGCTAGTCTTTAAGTAACACTTCGTTTTAACGTCTCCTTGTTCCCTAGGGTCTGATGAGTTCTCCGACTCACTGGAGATGTAGGGTACTCTGAAGAAACAGGGCCCTGGAAGTGATTTGTTGGCTGGAGATAGAAGGAAAAGGTTAGGATTGTGAGATATTAGAGATAGAATCAGTGGTTGTTGGCTAGAGGAAAGTGAAGAGACTCGCATTTTGAAGCTCACTAGAGGTGGCTGATTGGAACAGGATGGAGAGGGCATAGAAGGAGGTTCCTGTATGCCCTGGTTTCTGGAGAATATGGAGTTCTGAGTTGGCCTGGTTTGGGACAGTACCTCCTGGAGAGATCATTAAGTCATTAATTAAAAGTTATCTATTATTTGCTTCAGTTGTGAAAGGATTTCCAGGTAATGCACACAAACAAATAGATTAGCTAGACTTTGACCTAGTCCACCTGGAATTTGGAATACAGTAAGAGAAAGATAGGTACACAGATGACCCTAGTCACCAGGACTACGGAGTCATTCATGCCTTTGGCAGATTTTACTAAACATTTTTGATGTTAGATGTGGAGGAGTGGGGAAATATGGAAACCAAGACAGAGGGTCCCTGCTCTCATGGATCTTACGTTCCAGTGGGGGAGACAGGCAGTTAATAAGTAAATAAGCAAATAAGTAAAGAAAAATGAACAAGATAATTTCAGATAATAGTAAAATGCTGTCAAGAAAATAAAACAGGATGACCTGATAGAAAATTATAACCAGTGAGTAACTTTAGGAGGAACTGTCATTTGGAGTGACATTTGATCAGACCTAAATGAAATAATGGAGAACCTGTGGGAATTCAGGGAGGGAGGTTGTGACTAGCTGGGGGAATGCAAAGAAGACTTCGAGGAAGAAGCGACATTGGATTTGAGCATTTGAAGCAAAATAGGATTTGGAAATGTATAGCTGGGAAAAAAAAAATTCCAGATGGGAGGAAGGATGCAAGCAAAATTGTGGAACCCAGAAAGCAAAGTATTGCTGGTACCAGGGTGTATAGAAGAGAGCTGTGAGAGGGATCTTTGGAATGGTAGAACTGTAGACTCATGTAATGTCAGATCTTCAGGGGAACTCAGAAACATTGAGGAGATGAGCTGTTTATTGTTAGGGAGTAACCAAGTGATTTCATGACCTGTGTGTAGTGGGGGCTGGCCTTGTAACTTTTTTTTTTTTAAGTTCATTTTTGAGAGAGAGAGATAATGCACAGGAGGGGCAGAGAGAGAGGGAGAGAGAGAGGGAATCCGAAGCAGGCTCCAAGCCATCAGCACAGAGCCCTATGTGGGGCTTGATCCTGTGAACCGGGAGATCATGACCTTAGCCAAAATCCAAGAGTCAGATGCTTAACCAACTGAGCCACCCAGTCACCCTGTGGCCTTGTAACTTAGAGTGTTCTGATTTATGAATTACATTAATTGACTCATATTTGTTGAAGGCTCCTCTGGGGTAAGTTGTGAGATACAGTGGCAAACAAGACCAACATAGTCCTGCTCTTATGGAGCTTACATTCTAGCTTGGGAATAGGAAATCTAATAACCGATTTATTATTATTTTGCTTGAGGCTATGGAAGAAAGGATAGAGGACAAACAGAGGACTTAGCTTGGAATGGTAAGGCTAGTGGCTGAATAAGTGACTTTTGAGTTGAGATTTGAAGGGTAGGATAGCACTGCCTATGTGAGGAGTGGGGTGCTAAAGGGCCAGCATGTCCAGAGGCTTGGGATGAAGGGGATCATGGCAAGCTGGATAGAAGGCCAGAGAGCTGAAGCAGAGAGCAAATGGGAGCATGGCAAGACTAGAGAGATAGGCAGGGGCCAGGCCATGTGAAGCCCTGTAGGTTGAGTTGAGAATTTTGACCTTTAGCTATCGAGCAATGGAATGGCATAGTTCACTCTCATTTTCATGGCATTACAGGATTTTAGATTGGAGCCAGAGCAGGAATGGCCTGAAAGTAAGGCCAGAGCATTTTGAATTTGAAGATCTTCTAAGATCAAGTGAATGGGTGGTTGTGTCAGAGGAGAGTCCTTTAAGTTCTGAGAATCTGGAATGCTGTGGAAGGCAGTGGGGGCCCACAGGGTGTGGAGGAACATGCATAGCAAGATCTGTCTGTCTACTCTTCAGAGTATGTGGACTCATTGGGCACCTGGGTGGGGGCTGGCCTGGGTCAGGACGGCAGCAATGAGAACCTGAGATAGGCTGTGGGAATGGAGGCAGGGTAGGTGCTAGGTGGTATTGCAGAGGTAAAAGACAGGTCTTGCTTTGAAACTGGTTCATTCTTGGGAAGGGAGGGGGATGGTGAGGGAAAGCAAACTAGATCCTATCTTGGGCGACTGAGAAGATAGTAATACCATTAACAGACATAGGGACACAGGAGGAGGTTTTATACACACTGAGATTGGGTGCTCTTAGGCTATCCACTTAGCAGGACAGGTGTAAGCATTGGGGTCGTTTGTGTATGAGGGAGATTGCCAGGGAGAAAGAGCAGGGGTCTCTTGTAGTCCAGAGGATTGGAGAAGAGCCACTTGTTATAGGGAATAAGCAGTCCTGACACTGGTTGTCTCAGATAGTGTCATGCATGAGTGAAGGGGCACCCCTGGTCTTTGTGGATGCTCTATTTGAGCAGGTTCAAGGCGGTGTCACTGCTCTTTCCTGGGCAAACAGTTATGACTTTGGTCCTGATAATTCCAGTATATTTTGTAGGCTTCTGGAATTTGCGTTTTTAAAAATGAAAGTAAGAGGAACTTAATGTCTCTGGCCTTTTAAAAAACTTTCATTAAATTGTTAGTGGAAGGATTATTTTAGGGGAAGACTGAAATGTTGGTTTTGATTATAGTGGTACGTGTCTTGATTTAACTCACAGACCTTTTTGTTATTAAATGAAGAGACATTCAAATGAATACCTTTCTGGTTTGGAATGGCATCAAGTCAGTGTGTTTTTTAAATCTTTCTAGTTCCATAATTCCTGTGTGAAAATTGTGGTTATAAGGTCTTTTCTGTTAATTGAAAGGAATGTAAGATAATAAGAGGAGTAGATTTCACTGAAGTTATCGCTGGATGCATACCATGTGCCAGGGACCTGGCCAAATGTTTTCATATGCATTGTGCCATTTAATCTTCTGGACAACTCTGAGGGTGTCGTATAAAATTTGTGTTATTATGTGGTTGCAGTTAGAAAATCACTTAATTTTTTTCCAAATGAAAGTTCCTACAGAAATGATTAATCACAGAGGATTTTATTATTGGTGTCCGTTTAGTAAAAATTACTATGGAATCTTTGATGGATGATTTCTAAAGCAGTGCCAGTTTCATTTATTTTTATGTTAGCATTTATAATTCAGTGATCATTTTTTTAAAAATTTATTTGAGGGGGAGGGGCAGAGAGAGAATCCCTGACGCGGGGCTCAATCCCACCAACCACGAGATAATGACCTGAACAGAAATCAAGAGTCAGATTGCTTAACCGACCAAGCCACCTGGGCACCTCATCAGTGATCATTTTCTTCTATTTGTGACCTCACCATTGAAATTTTTCTTTGGAGGATAAATACATGACATCAAATTAGAAATAAAGATAGTAAGCCCATTTATGAAATTAATTGCATTTAATTCTTCTATCAGAAGTGGAAGTTTCAGGAGGATAGACTATAATAGCCTAGTGAATGGGAGCCTTGTAATTACCCAGGATATTAAGAACTTCCCTTCCCTAGAAGGAAAAAATATGCAGCGCCTGGCTCATTCAGTTGGAAGAGCGTGAGTCTCTTGATCTCAGGGTCATCAGTTCAAGCCCCACGTTGGGCGTAGAAATTATTTACAACAAATTTTAAAAAACGAAAGAAAGAGAAAGAAAGAAAAGAAATAGGCATTTATTGAGCATCTATTTTGTGCCGGGCGTATGGGGTGATGGTGGTATTAGTCGCAGCAGTAGCTGCCACCAGCATTTTTCCCATTTTTTTCTAGGTGTTGTGTCAATTGCCATTTAGAAATTACTTATTTTAATCCTTAGAGTGAAGTTATTCCCATTTCACGGATGGGTGAACTGAAGCTTGGAGATACTTAGTAACTTGCTCCAGCTTATACA